CTATATTTTACGAACACAATAAACGTATCTTTACAAAACTTGGTATGGGTCATCAGCACGATGCCCTGAAGGAGCCTGAGAAGTTTCGAGCCAGTGCCACCTAGTGGTAAAATAAAATATTTACATGCTTATAACTTTGGGTGTGGTCGACTTATTTTCACGAGAGTCACCTTTTTAGACTCCTGAATCCTTGCAGAATCCAGCAATACCAAACATGCCAGGTTTTGCGTTATGGTTTGTGCAACATTGTATTTTAGCGCTTAAAAAACATTTGCCAATATCTTAGAAACCATTACTCCGATCGACACGAAACCACCGTAGGAAATTCGAAAACATAGCGTGCCGGCTACACACTAATGCCCAATTGCTAAAATTTTGATACTAAGTGGCAAATAAATGCAAACAAAGTCGACCATCAGTCATTTTTTCTGTTCTCATATATAAAAATGTCTATAACTCCAAAACAAAATGAGATATTTTCACTAAATTTGAGACACATATGTATGGGCACACTCTAAGGACACATAAAACATTGGGTGGGAGTGTGCCTCTTGGTGGCGCTATAATTGAGTAAAACATGAAATTGCCATTGACTACAATAGAGTATTATGATATAATATGCTATATTTCACGAATGCATTGGTGTACCATTACAAAACTTTGTATGTACTATCAAGACCATGACTTGAAAGTACTCAAATAGTTGAGACAGTGCCACCTTGTGGTCAAAAGTTATAATGAAATTTCAAATAAATGCTAATAGCTTTCTGTGAATTTTGCCTATTGTAATGAGACTGGTATTAATAGATTCCTTGGGTCACGCTGAGTACAGTGAATCCATTGTTGCCATAGTCAGCCAAACTTCATGTCCGCCATTTTGATTTTCTTAAAAAACCTACTTTTTCGATCTCCTCCTAGACCGTTGGTCCGATTTTCACCAAAATCGATTCATATCATCTTCAGACAATGCTGACAAAAAGTTATGGATTTTGTGCTGATAGACAAAACCGTTTTCGTATACCACAGCAACAAATTTGAGGCATTATGCCAAAATGACTCTGAGGCTGTATCTCTGTATAGCTTTGACATAATGACAACACATTTTGTGTGTGTCAATGTCACCTCACACAGAACACACCAAAATTATTTGATTACAGCGCCACCTGTTGGTCAAAAGTGATAAGCCATTTAATCATATTTCTAGAGGTTGTATTTTTGATTTTTCAGCCATTTCAATTACAATCATCCTAAAATTGCTTTTATTACTCATTGTTACATTTGGTTTGATGCTCCATGCCATGCTTACCTCCTCAATTTGCCGCTGGAGTGCTTGGCCCCGTGATTGCTGCTTGCAGCTTTATTTATTATTACTATTATATGCAGAATTTCTCATTTTCATAACTAAAATAACTAACTATAAATAAAAATAAAAATACTATATTTTTTTTACAAATTACAAAAACACAGAACAAAATTGCTAAAACTTTAACTAAAATTAAAATGAAAACAGTCAATATAAAAATTAAGCTTAATTCAAAATACTATTAAAAATAGTATCTCTGTTATACTAAAATAACACTTATGCAGTATATTTTATATTGCAAGTAGTGTAGTATAATGCATCATACTTTCTTGAAAAAATATAGAAATAAATGATAAACAAATCAGAACACAATCTACAAGTACAGAATTATGTGCAACATATCTGTAAAAAATTAAAAGATAAATTACTTAGTTTTCGTTTCTTAATGGTGAAAATGTATCTTGATATTCCACTACAATTTCAACACATAACTGTCATTATTAAAATAAAAAAATGTTATGCAATAATAATGACAAAAATCAAACAAACAATGTCATATGGAGCTGACAGCACACTCATTGATAGCTGAAAACATTTTAAGATTAGTCAAAATGTTAAGTAAAAAAAACCACAAATGGTTATGTGTACAACCTGAGTGACTTACATTTGAATTGTGTGGAAATCTGATGCAGATTTCTCTTATTAAATGGTGGTTAGTTACCTGCAACATTTAGCCGATAGCCTTCTTTTGCACGAAGCCTTTCTCTGCTTTACACACATAGTCCCCTGAATCCTCAGCTCTCACTACGAGGCTGCGTGTGAAGGTTGTATAAGATTCATGAAGAAGGGTGTTGCCTTTGGTGAGGTACAACTCAAGATCTGAGTTAAATTGCACCTTACATGTGATCTGCACCCTGTCACCCTCAACAACATTCGCTTTGGGAGAGGTGCTTATTTGTCGGGTGATCACATCAAGATCTGTAAAAAAGAAGGTCCATCTCACTGTTAATGCAAAGTATCATCAGATGTGCATATACTCTGCATATGCGATATCTGACGTCTCAATAAATTATATCACCCTTTTTTCTCAAGGGGCCGATGTCAGATAAATTATGTGATGAGTGTGACCGGAAGCAGAAAAAAACAAAAGAATTCTCAAGTATCATCAGCAAATCTTGACAAGGCTTAGCAATTTACTGCAGAGCAAGTTCATAATCAAATCGTATCATTTAATGGTGGATCTGATGACAAAGCTGTTATCAAACAAAATACTGATTTTGAAGATGATGTAAACGAAAACATTTTAAGATTAGTGTATCTATGTTATGGAAGGAGACTCACAAAGAGGATTAGAGTACAAACTGGTTGTTTATTAACAGCAAGTGATGCAGATGGTAATGGCAGGTGAGTAATAAAGGCAATGTAGCTGTTCTTTGTATAGATGGTGAATATAACACAGTTTCTGGTTTCGCAGGAGATCGTGGAAGGGAGACAGAAGACAGCACACACCTCAGATGACGAGTACAGAGAATATCCACGGAGATGATCACTGGAACAGACGAAGGAATGGAACACAGGAGAACACACTGGAGGAGACACAGGAGGTAAGTACTACAGGCAGGTAGGTAGTTCAATGTATCACACGGATAGCATAGAGAGTCCACTTCGTATGAACGAGACCGGACACTGGAGTGAAGTGAGGTGTGTGCTTTTGTATGAGTCTTGATGAGAGTGCAAATTCCAAACAGGTGCGTGCAATCAGTACTCAGTTTATGGTGTTCGCTGTGATTGACTGGTGGCTGAGCCTGGCCGATCTGTGACAGTACCCCCTCCTCCACAGCCCGCTCCTGAGGGCCGAAGACCCTGACGTCGTGGTGGCCTACCTCTCCCTCGGGGCCCAGGGCGATCTGGATGAGTGGAGTGAAAGGCTTCCAGCAGCGTGGGATCGAGGATGTCAACTCTGGGAACCCATGAAGGTTCCTCTGTCCCATAGCCTTCCCAGTCCACAAGATATTCTGAGAGACCACCACGGCGCCGGGAGTCCACGATCTCGTTGACCTTGTAGATGGCACCGTCCTCCTGGATTAACGGAAGAGGGGATTCTTCCATCGGGCCAGGCTCTGTGGAGACAGAAACAGGAGGATGGTGAGGTTTAAGCAGTGACACATGAAAGGAAGAGTGAATCTCATACTGTGAGGGAAGCTGAAGTTGGTACGTGACTGGGTTTATCTGCTTGGTGATGGTGAAGGGGTCAACATATCTGGGACTGAGCTTCTTTGTTGACAGCCATACCTTCTGATCAGGTTGGTATGATGGAGTTTCAGCCCTTATAAGGTCTGCTGTTGTCGTGCTTCTGCGCACTGCCCGCTGAAGCTGATGGTGAGCTGCGTCCCAGACCCTCTCGCTCTCTCGGAACCAATAATCGACAGATGGGACATCAGACGGTTCCCCGGACCAGGGGAATAGGGGAGGCTGGTAACCAAGTACGCATCGGAAGGAAGTGAGTCCAGTGGATGGCTGGCAAAGAGAGTTCTGCTGCGAGTCTTGATGAGAGTGCTCAGGGTTAGGACGATTCTAAAGTCCCGCGCACTTTTGGGGCCCCCAGAGATCTGTTTTATTAGTAGTAACAGTAGTAGTAGTAATGTAATAGAAATTGTAAATGTGCTATGTTCCTGTGGCTCAGTGGTAGAGCGTTGTGATAGCAGCGCAAAAGGTTGTGGGTTTGATTCGCAGGGAACACACATACTGGTAAAAAAATGTATAGCCTGAATGCACTGTAAGTCGTCTGCTAAATGCATACATTATTATTATTATTATTATTATTATGAATTATTATATCCTGGGAGCAGCTGGAAACTAGTAATCTAGTTTTCCACTGTATTGCACCTCGACGGTACAATGCTGCTGACATGACTCGCTGCTGAGATGACCATATGCAATGCTCTTTCATCAGGTACGTTTTCATATGGAAATTTCTAAACCAAATCATAGCAGAAACTCATTACATCATTTCCCCATACTTTTTTGTTCAGTAATCTCCATGATCCCACATAAAGAAACACTAGTACATACTACAGCATATATTCTTAAATAAACTGTGGTCACATTTTAAATTATGCTATAGTATACTACAGTTTACTATTTGTATCAATGTCATGTAAGATATATGTTGTAATAATACAATAAGTAAGTAGTGTAAAAATACACTGCATCATATATTTTGTTATTAAAATAAGGCAACTTGTTCTAAATCATAATATTGTTGCCTAGCACAGTAGATCATGCATACCACGTAATATTAGAATAGTTACACCTTACTTATGAAATACTAATAGTATAAATACTTTTAATTTTCCAAGTCATTACCCCTTATCCCCCAAACGTTGCACATTGCACGTTGTCATACATACCACGTAATTTCAGAATAGGTGCCCTTTAGTTATAAAATACTTACAGTATAAATGCTTTATAATTTTGCAGGCTATTACCCCCTTATTCCCCAAACATTGCATATTGTTCCCTTATACCTAGGAGTAGGTACTGTGGAGGTAGGCTACTCTATAGTAACAAATAAGTAGGCCTACGCTGTAAATTCTTTTTAATTACGCTGTACATTGCGGGCTGTAATCTAAAGCGTTACCATATTTTAAGTTAAATGTAAAACATTATAAACATCACAATATGTACACAAGATTTATACCTGTACACAACATATTTGATATCAAAATAAAGAGGATTGTACAACTTGGGATGATCTGCATTTTAAATGTGTTCCACAAATCTGCACAGAAAAAAAGAAAAGAAAAAAACATTACTTTAGCATTTAGCATTTCTAAACAAACTATACATTGCCTGCTATGGATATGGCACTAAAGAGAGAGCTTCTTACCGTTTTCTCAAGTCAACCCCTCCACAATGTTCTCAGAAGCTTTAGTTTTTCGAACTGCAGAAGCAGCACACAAGTAACAATCTATAAAATGCATCCTTCCTCTTGTCATGTTATTTCCTCTTTAAAATGCCTTAAACATGAGTTTGCACTAGAATGCGGCTTGGGGGTTTTTGTATTTTAAAAATCAATATACATAGCGTAATATAACATGTGGGGAATGGGATAGCAGGATAAAAGAAAGCATCTTTGGCCAGAGATATAGAGAGCACAGAGGGAAGAAAACATGTCTAGTTTAAGATTTTTGATTCACTTTTTAAGCCTGTTTCCACCTGGTATTAATATGCATTTTATGATCCGGTCACAAGTGGTCAGCCCTTAATACAGGCGTAAATCGTTTATAAAGTGTTTTGTGATCAGATCACCACATTGCATTTAGGCCTGTCCCAATACCCACACTTTGTGGTCTTTGCACTTGATCTCTTGTGTACTTGCATGACATATTTCCTGTATGTGGTTCAAGTGGATGTGAGGACCACAACTGCATAGCACTTCTGATTAACTAATGGGACATACTTACAACATAGTGTTGTACAAATGCAAGTACAGTTTTTACTCAGCTTTATTTACACATTTTGTACATGTCATTCTTTGCACTTTAAAATAAACTGCAAAATGACAGTTTAATTGTAGTGCTTTTTAATTAAGCGTCCTCATCCTCTAAAACACAGAAAGGATGAAATTTGAACACAACATGATATTTTACAATTTCAGAATAATCAAAATCCAACATAATAAAAAAAAAAAATAGCTTATAAGGAGCTCCTTAAAATCAAATGATTAATTTCACTCTTTCAAACAAGTCCTTATATTTGACCTTACCGCTTTGAGTCAAACCATTCACAGTGTTCTCGTAAGCTTTAATTTTAGAACTGCAGAAGCAGCTCACAGGTGTACAAGATGCATCCTTCCTCTATTGGTGACCTTCCTCATTTTATGGACTTGCACAAATGGGTGATTGTTGTACATGCAGTTATATGAAATTAAATAGCATATTTCTGTACAAAAAAAAGCCATAATTTGATACAAATGTATCATTAGCCAGAGAAAACAGGATGAGTTTTTTTAAAGAAATGAAAATATATATATATTGTGGTTAAGATGCTCTTCACTTTGCAAAGACATTAGACTTTATTAACAAAGACTTTATTAACTCTTGAAAGGGAGGACCTATATTGACATGCACAGACAGAAAAGAGATCCACCGCTTGTAGAATGGAATAGTTCAGCTGTGAGAGCAAAGGAAACAACAAAGCACCACAACATCTGTCATCAGTGTTTTAATGCTTCTGTTTCAGGCATTTTGATCAGAGGAGAGGGCAGGATTTGCTTAGTTTATAATAGTATACATTTACTCACAATTATTTATGTCTGTAAATACAGCAAAAAAGATTTGATTGTTCAATCAAAAAGTATGCATGCTAAATAGTTTTATGATAAGTTACGTTAAACGGCTCTTTGGAATGCTTGATTCTAATTGGTCAATTGCTGTATTATATGCTCAAGTATTTTACATATTGACCTCTATAGGTGTACTGTCTCGTGTCACTCCATAGTCACTTCTTTTCTCACATAATAAAATAATTTAAACTCAAATACATATATTTTGTCAATACCATGGCCATAATGAAAAACCATAATGAAAAACAGCCACATGAAGAATCGGTCCAGAACCTTTGCAACCTTTTTCCACTCTCCGGTTCTTTTCGCTGTAGCTCTCTGATCGCGGTAACAGTTTGCGACATATTCAATATTCCTCATGAGATGCTGCTGCTCACACTTGCACTGCGCTTTGAGCCCACCATCATGATCTCTGTATCCATCCTCTCCTCTTCCTGTGGCTTTTCCCGCCTCAGTGCAATCCATGCTCATGAACACTCCCTCCTTCCACACGCCATAGTGACAGGTGGGGTGTTTTCCCAATGAGCACGCTGGACTCATGAGCTGAGACGTGTCTTCGGTGTCACCTGGGAGCTTTGGAGACGTGGCCTCCTGACTTCTCTCAAATTTGAACACAAAGTCATCTTTCCCAGCTTGGCCGTTCATGTTGCAGTTGGAGTCTGGCGGTTTTGGTGGTTGAGGGTCTGGTCTCTCTGGCTGTGAGGTCATGCAGTTCTCGCCGACTTCGTAGACGAAGCAAATCCTGGCCAGATACTGCAGGATGAATTTCTTGGCCCAGTTTGGGACGGGTTTGGCCTCGGGGCCACAGTGATGTATGTTCATAATAAAGATGGTGAGGGCAGTGGATGCAGTGATCATGGTCATCGTGGCTATGTAATACTTTCCTGTAGAACATAAGAGAAAGTTCAGAAACGTTTTGTCTCAATGATATTGCCAATAAAAGATTATATTAGTTTGACAAGTTCAGAATGAACATTTAAAAAGTGAGTGAGTGACCAAGTATGGTGTTCCATACTCATGGATTTCCAAACTCCATACTAGGGGTTTGGTGCCTTGCTTATTAAGGGCACCTAAGTCGTGGTTTTGAAGGTGGAAGAGAGTGCTGGTCATTCATTCCCCCCACCTACAATCCCTGCCAGTACCAAGACTCAAACTCACGATCTTTGGGTTACAAGTCCAACTCTCTAACCATTAGGCCTCAACTTCCTGTAGGCTTTGCTATTTTAGTAGTTAAATAGTCAAGAAAAAATAAATCCCACTGCCAAATAATGAGATGATTTAAAAAAATTAATGAATTTAAAATAATTTGTTCCAAAGGTATGTTTACACACTTTTTAGAGTCTTTTTGTTAGAAGCCAATACTTCTCATTCTGTATTAACTAACAAGAAATGTGGTTATGTATTTAATATTTATAAAATGCAACTGACAAAACACATAACATGCATCTTCACACTTTGTCATATGAACAAGCAGTCAGTATTCACACTGATAGCCGCACTATGTAAGCTGTATGATTTTAATTTACTAAAAATAACAACTCGGAGTCATTCGTTCGAGAATCGGACTACACTGGTTGAGCTGTGTGAAATTAATTCGCTAAAAAAACATGCCCTGTGTCCGAAATCGCCCCCTATACCCTTAAGTAGGGCACTATTTGAGGGGACAGCCAGTTTTAGTGGTGTCCGAAACCTTCGTGGACATTATCGAGTGCACAAATTCAAACCCACAATGCACAGCAATGACGAGTGTACAACTGATGTATGGTCAAAAGCTAGAGAATACCCATAATGCACTTTGAAAGTCGTGCGCCGAATTAATTGGTGTCTCACCAGAAGACGGCACTCACAGCTGAATCTTCCATCCATCCATTAATTTCACAAAGCGCTCGTCCACGGCATACAGCGTAATACAATCCAGGTATACATTCATTGAAAATTGATTATATTCAATTGTTAAATTAGGGTTTATTTTCATGACAGAGTTCAAGATAAATCCTTTCATCTTACTACCGGAGCTGCTAGTTTGCCAGTTTCAAATGATTATTAAACAGCAAGCACAAACTATGCTTTCCAGTGCACTCAGTGTCCAAATTCACTCACTCGTTTTAATTTACTCCTTCAAGTGAACTCTTCTAATTATTGTTTAATTATAGTTTATACATAATTTCCATTACAGAGTTCAAGATAAATCCGTTCATCTTACTACTGGAAGTGCCAGTTTGCCAGTTTCAAATGATTATTAAACAGCAAGCACAAACTATGCTTTCCAGTGCACTCAGTGTCCAAATTCACTCACTCGTTTTAATTTACTCCTTCAAGTGAACTGTATTAGTGGCCTAATGTAGAGAATAGTGAATGAGGGTATAGGGGGCGATTTCGGATCTACATAAGAGACACATAAGTGACACAAAACTGAATATTTAACTAAAAAAAAAAAAAGACCTAAAATGCCCAGGCTGATTTTTGAATAACATATGCTCACTATTTATGCTATAGTTTATGCCTTATGGCTGACTTTATATTAAAGCTTTGTATTTACACAAACTTTAATCATATCTAAATGATTCACCTATAAGAGGTACATTCTCTGAGGGAGGCATGATCTCAGCTACCAACAGCTGAAACACGGTGAGTGCTAACATCACAGTGACCCCCAGTGACACCTTCTCTCCAGAGTCTGCAGGTAGATAGAAACCCAGCGGAGCCAAGAAAGAGATCATCACACAGGGAATGAGCAAGTTGAACACATAAAATGAGGCCCTTCTCTTCAGTTTCAGAGTGTACGTCACGTCCGGATAAGGGTCTGCACAACAGCCGTACAGAATGACATTTCTCTTGGCCGGCATTCCCAGCACCTCCCATTCCACGTTGTCCACCAAGTCTGCGAGATCTGCGCTCTCCATGGCGTTCAGAATGTCAAGCTGGTTGCCGTTGTAGGTCCATGACCCGTAGGTCAGACGACACTGCTGGGCGTCAAAGGGGAAGAACGAGACGTCAACTTTACAGGAGCTTTTGGTGATGGCTGGAGCATCCCACATGATCTGGCCATCATGACGGATAACAACGTTGGTGTTCATAGTGCTGGTGAAGTGATCATCAGCGCTGCAAGACATAGAATATTCTACAGTAAACGGTAGAGTATTTAGGGTCATTTTACAGCGGGCATAAAAAGTCCACACCCCTGTTAAATATTTCAGCTTTGTAAGATTAATCTAATTAATCCAAGTAAAAAGATTCAAAATTCAAGAAACAAACAAATTAAAACGAAGAATAGAAATGTAACCTGGTAGAAAAAGTGTACATACCTCTCAACTAAAGCACTCAGTCTTTTTGATTAAGATTCTATCAACTTAGCCCATCTTGATTAGTCAATGTTTTCCACTCTTCCGTGCAAAAGATCAGCAGATTGATCATATTTCAGGGGGATCTTATGTATACAGTCCTCTTCAAGTCATTTCACAGGTTTATTTCAATTAAATGTAAGTCTGGAATTTGACTAGTCACTGGACATTTTAAAACCTTCTTCTTCTGAAGCCATTCCATTGTTGACTTCGATTTGTGTTTGAGGTCATTATTGTGCTGAAAGATGCCTTCATCTTCAAATTTTTCATGAAGACCCACAGTTTTTTTTCCCCCAAAGAACATCTAGCGTGATTTTACTTGGATTAATTTTTACTCCTCAAAAAGCTGCAATTTTAACAGGAGTGTGTTTTTTTTTTTTATATAGCCACTGTAGCCATTAGGTTCCCCTAAAACGGCAAAGAAAGTGGTTGAGAAAGAATCTGAAGGCACAAGATTAACATTTGCTTAAAATTCATTTGATTCAAGTCAACAAACTGGTCTAAAAGGTTCATTCTTTAATTTGTCTAATTGAATCTAACGTAATGACTTCCTGATCTGGTCATAGCAGTTAACAATTCAGTGAAAAATTATTTAAATTTGGGTTTGTTCATGAGTAAATACTGAGTATTTTCATTTTTGAGTGAACTATTCCTTTGATGGGTTTTCACTATCTATGTAGAGGGTGTACAGTACATAACTGACATGACAAAAACTATTTCTTTCTTAGATGTCGTTCGGGTGGATTTAATTGAAATAGATGCCACGATAAAAGACTAACATGGACAAATTTATTCAAATGATAGCGTGGTAGTCTGTTTGAGGCCAAGACTAATACAATATTTACTAATATATTCCAATAAGAGGTGTACAATATCCTCTAAATTCAATGCAGGGGCAGCTATAGAATCATACTTAAATATCGCTCCATTTGATGTTTTTTTTTTTTTATAAAATAATTGCCTAACAATATTACTTAGAGCCTTAAAAAACAGGAGCATATGTTTCTCTGAACACTCAATCATAAATGCTTTAATTAAGTGTTGAGCTTGTGCCTCCATGTGGGGAAAAAAGAAAGAGCAAACAAAAATGGCAATCTCAATACCAATCTGACCTGTTATATAGGACTATATCGGGTCTCCATACATAACTACCAGGTATACGGATGGTATCAAGCCCGTCATAGTTATCCTTATCCCAGGTGAGATACTTGTCAATCCACACTTGCCGTATCCATAAATACGCCGACAGAATCTGGTTTCGCTCGTCCTGTAACAGAAGGGTACACTCAGCAATTTATATTGCTTGCCTTAGAAAGAAAATAAAACATCTTTAGGTGCATGTTTCAATGTACGAGCAAATAAATTAAAATAAAGCTTTTGTCTGGCCAGTTTACAGAAAGATTTCATTTGAATGGCAGGCATCCTTAACAACACTCACAAAATCTTCACTTCATCACTAACTAGTTAGCCTCCTTAACTCATCAAAAGGGCTATTAAACTTTGTTTTTAAAAATTATTGCAATTTTTACAAGATATAACAAACCTTTTTTTATCCAACCATACTCCAAAAATCATGTAAAATGCATTAATTTAGTCACTATTTTAAAATGGTAATTTCTTTCCTTACTGACTTTTCCTTACTCCTTATATAACTTATAGCGCAGTATACATGATGCTTGCACATTTATCTGTGTTTGTTATCCAACAGAACGACAACATTTTCTCTACAGTGTCCTCATCTGAGCTCATTTTCTGGTAGGCTGTGGTTTTGTGTATTACACTCTAAAAAAATGCTGGGTTAAATACAACCCAGTGCTGGGTAAAAAAAGGACAAACCCAGCAATTGGGTTGTTTTGACCCAGCGGTTGGGTTACTACCCAGAAGGTTGGGTTAAACATTTAACCCAACCGCTGGGTCAAAACAGCCCAATTGCTGGGTTTGTCCCTATTTTACCCAGCACTTGGTTGTATTTAATCCAGCATTTTTTAGAGTGTATGTGGCAGATTACCATGTCAATGATTTGGGAGAGGGTGATCTGTAGTGTGACGTTCAGGATATCTTCTGTGTCCTCCACTGGCCTCAGTGCACTTGTGTAGTTTCTAAATAAATCATTGAGCAGTTTCTGGGCATAGATCCCATTGGCCCCCCAGCAAACTGGGAAAAAAGAAAGAAAGAAAGAACTGTTTTCTGTTTGAATATTTCAAAATGTAATTTGTAATGGCGGAGCTAAATATTTTTATTCAGCAAGGATGTAAATTTATCGAAAGGGACAATAAATACATTTATAATTTTTATCTTTTATCTATAACTTTCTATTTCAAATAAATTCTTTGGAACTTTCTTTTCATCAATCCAATTAATATATAAATAAATAAATAAATAAATAAATAAATAAAAATAAGTTGCAACAGCACAATTGTTTCCAACACTGATAATTATAATAAATGTTTATTGAGCAGCAAATCACAATAAAATGATATCTGAAGGATCACGCGACACTGAAGACTGGAGTAATGATGCTGAAAATTCAGCTTTTGCCATAACAGGAATAAATTATATTTAATGTGTATTCACATATAAAACAGTTCTTCTAAATTGTAATAATTTTTCACAATATTAACGATTTTACTGTATTTTTTATAAAATAAATGCAGCCTTGATGAGCATAAGAGACTTCTTTAAAAAACATTTTAAATTAGTCTAAATGTGATGTGGCAAGTTTTTAGACAGACGACGACTTACAAATGTTGGAATATAACAAAGCAAAGACAAGGCAAGATTCATCCTAAGGTAAACCAAATACTAACTTTTCAGTTTTATTACATATTTGAATTTGATTGATGTGGTTTTGTATTACAGCAATAGATCAGAGCTGCCTGTCAATCAGAGCCACATAACAGCACTTGTGATGGATAACACATGCCCACATGACAGATGGCTTAATCGGGAGGAATGGAGGGATGAGATTTCCTGCTAGATTACTCATCTGAAGCTATACAACACAAGCGATTGAGTGTATATACCATTAAGCAGCTGGTCAGTATACCAATATTGAATATTCCCACTGTTATTTTCCAGAAAAATAAAAAGATACAGTTCATGAAACACACTGACACTTTGTGACAACATGCCCCAGTAGCATAGAACATGGTGTCTCACTATAGGGTTAGATGGTACCCCATAAAGTGCAGTGCATAAGAGGAAAGTGATTATTTAAGTAGGTACTGAACACTATATGAAAACCTTTGAGTGATATAGACACAGGTCTAGACTTTGCCAGATGTTTGCAACTGCTTTGTCATGTCAGTGAAGCTTTAAAAGAGATTTACAGAAAGGATTATCATGTTGGATTGACAATGTGATGTCAATACACAGAAATAGATATATAAAAATTATCAGCAGATGGAAATCAATGCATAGAGTAAATGGCAAATAATGCACTTTCACTTCAATGTCACTTTTTACAGTAAGTTGTACTTTTGACTAAACATTAGACTGTTTAAAATGAATTTAAAGAGGGTTTAAGACCTAAAAACCTGCAAAAAAAATCAAACAATTGTGAACAACAGCACAGTGGCAGATTGATATGTAAGAAAGAAGAAAGCATTACCTGGCACAAACATCAAGCAGGAGGTAAAAAAGGCAAAATATTGCACATTCTTGGCAGTCATCTCGCAGTTCAGTTTATTGAAGCTCTGCTATGGGGCTTTAAAATGAGAAGTGAATAGATATTCGATTCATTGAAGATCTAGTCTTTCAACTCCAGATGACAGCTGCTGTATGAAAGTCAATAAAACACAGAGACACTAAACCGTTTAATCCTCCAAACAGAGCACGTGTGTAATCCTGCCTCTGTGCCTCACTCTATTTGACATCGTATTATATATGTAAAAAAAAAAAAAAAAGTCCACTTTTTGCTGCCATTGAGTTCACATGTATTTATTATTAATACAGTTTTTCTCAGTCGCTTTGGTGCATTTCTCACATCACTATTTACATTTGCACAACAGTTAGTTCAACCTCCACAACATTTAGTCATTTGTGCACATCATAGTAGCAGTTTCTCATTCCTTCGAACAAATTGCAAATGCTTTTGGACATGCATCAATTGCTTTCATACAACTCTCTGCTGTTTTATAACATTATCATTTGCTTATGTCATGTCAGTCAAAATTAACTATACTTGTGAATGCTGAATAGTCATTCCATATAAAACTAATAGTCCTCATTCTATTGCTTGAGTCATTACATACAAAAATGTTGAACTAGTTGTCAAAATCTGTCAAGCAAATTTTACAAATTTTTTAAATCTTTTTTTTCCTGAAAATGTCTCCTAAATTGAACAATTTCTCTCAGGTGAATCTCAACTTTCACTGATAAGAAGGGGTGTGTGAAGCATTAGTTGCAACCAATGATAAGCCACTTCTCTACAATCACTGTCAGAGCTGAATCCCATAAACCCCCACTTTACAAGCATATATTAATCTTTATATAACTATGTTATATAATACAAATAGTTTAAAAGCAGCTTCACAGATATAAACCTGGAAAATAAGTGTTGCCAAATTTTATTATGAAACTACTTATATTTTTGCTGTCAAAAAATATTTTAAAGCAGACAATAGTGTCATTATAGTGTCACACCCCTGGCAATAGATAGATAGATGGATGGATGGATAGATAGATAGATAGATGATGGATGGATGGATGGATGGATGGATA